GGCTTTGGGAACTGGGGGGGCGGGTTGTGGAGGACATGGCGGGGAATGCGGTTCACCCCGGGGCGTCGTGCTGCTGGTGTCACTCGGCGCAAAGGCTTGCGTGGATTTTAAAGACTGGGTGGTGATAAGTAACTACAGTTGGGCTTGCGGGGGGGTACTAGGGGGATGCTTCAGGGTGTACATGTTACCTCTCTAGAGAGCTGCTTATCCAGTAGCTGTCATATTCTGTTTCTTTACCCCTCTTCTAAAACATGTTACGCTGCCTTCCAGAAAAGGTGATGGGCCTGGAAGAGAAACCAGATTAATGTTATCTAGCCATTTGTTTCTGTAATGATGAAGTGGAGGTATCTGAAGTAAGCTATGCAGGCAGAGAGGAGGCTAAACTTCTGTTAAGTTGGTGCATGAATGTTGTGCTTCTCAGGCTTAAAACGAACAAATAAGCTACAGGGCTTAATGTTGGAATATCCTTTAAAGAAATAATAACTTGCAGATGCCAAGGAAGGGTTAAAGTGAAGTCTAGGCTACTTTCTGCTGAAGTCACCGTACTTCAACGATCTTCTTATTGCAGTCAGGCAGTTTGCAACTTGCAGGGTTGCAACACCTACACTCGTTTCATGTTTAAAGCCAGCAGTAATGTGATGCCCCTTGCTTTCTCTAAAGAGGATTTCTGGAAATATAAGCAGTGGCCTCCTCCATCACTTGTTGTCACTGAGGCTGTGAATCTTCTGGTCAAGAAGAAGAACCGATGAGTCCCCCTTGGCTGGCAAGGGCAGTACTGCTGATAGAGGACAGGTGCAGTTTTCTGGGTTCACTTCTTGCCCCAGCTGTCTTAACTGCCATCTGATAGTTTATTCTAGATCTTCAGTGAAGTCAGAGCAAAAAAGAAGTTGTTTTGTGTCTCACTTGAAAATAATAAATCATCCCCACTGAAGTTTTAAACATCGCGTTGAAGACTGAACCTGTGTTTCTGACATTTTTTAAGATGCTGCAGGTTTTTCTGTGCCCTTCTGTCAAATACCATGAGAGACCTTGTAGACAGCAGCACGCTGTGTCTTGCAATGAGTAAATAGTCATTGCAATACAGATGCAATACTCACCTTTGTGCTTCATCTCTGTTAGCCGCCAAATGCTTCTGGCACTGCTTAAGGAGTTCTTTGGATCTGTGGTATTTTCTGGGTGGCTGAGGAATGCAGCCTTCTTCTCCTTTCCCTCCTGATTCGCAGCCTTTCCATGCAAGGCCTACCTGGTGAGTTTTTCTTTTAGGAAGGTTTGGTCTTGGCTGCTTCCAGACATCCAATATTGTAAATTTAGATAGAAAACAGTTGTGATCTCTAGGGCTCTACAAAGGGCTTGATTTTAATTGACTTAATTCCTGACTCTCTTGTAACTTCTGAGGAGAGATGTTCCCTAGCAGTTTAATCGTTTGTATTGCTAACAAAAGTAATAATGACTTTTACAGGGCTGCATGAGGTGCTGCTTATAGAGAGAAATATGCTCCTTGTTAATCTGTTTTGCTTCATTTAAGCCATTCTGCTCAAAGCTGGGGCAGGTGCCATTGCAAAGTACATGGCTATTGTCTCCTAAGTAAGGCTGAGGACTGTGAATTCAGTGAGTTGATTTCCTTGCTGTCGCAGGACTGTGGGATCCTACGGTGTCAGCGAGCGTCACCTTACTTGTGGTACTATTGAACTCTCACCTCACTATGTGAGTTCTGCAAATATCCAATATCAAAAGAACGGAGACTTTTAGAAGTTGTCTAAACCACTTCATAATCCTCAGTCTGAACCTGGAGTTTTTCTACTCTGGGAATTAAGGTGTCTCTTTACTTGTGTGGGCTTTGTAGTTCTGAGGTTGGTTGCTCACTGTGTTGCAGGCTGCTGATCTTTTGCAGTGCGTGTGGCAGGGGGAGGGTTTGTGGGTGTTTTTTCTTTTACAACTGCTCTTTTATATTGGTCCTGTTCGCTGAGTGACTGCAATGTGAAGAGATTGGTTTCTTGATACTTGACAATCACCTGATTGCTCAAGAGGCTTAGTCGTGTTTGTTTATTCCTGGCTGTGACCTGGTGTTGTACCACGCACCGACACAGTTCTGGTTCAGTTGCTGGGCTGGCCAAAATATTGCAGACGACTGTATCTTGGTGGATCTGAAGGGATGTGATTGTATAATAAATTCCTCTTGGTTTAGTTAGTATTGTTGCAGATCAGTGTGCTGTTGTAACTGTTCACAAATTCTTTGACTTGTGCTGCTCAGCAGTTCCTCGTTGTTAGGAAAACTGGGGTTGGTAGCACCTGAAGAAATCAGGTGTTGAGTGAGTAGAAAACAGAATAAAGTGCCATTTGTGTAGTTAGCGTCTTCTGGCTAAATTAGTCAAAGCTAAGATGTAGGATAGCGGATGAGGCTAAGCTTGTAGAGAATCACTTGTGAAGGACTGGACAGTTGAATTTTTTTTTTTTTTTTTTGCCACAGGTACTACTTTTTTGCTGGGAAAATGTTTGTGCTCTCTCTGTAGCCTTGTCAGGCAGGAGTGAGCTGCTCTCTCTTTAATCAGGAGAAATGAGGAACAGTTGCAAGGCAGTTAATAATTTCTTTTTACAGTATCAGAACCAGCTGTGTGGCTGCCCTTGCCTCTGGTGTGATAAGCATTTAACTTGAGTTATCCAAGATTTAGTTTTGTTTGTCTATAAACATCTTGGGTCTGTGTTTTTGCTTGGCTTCTTTTTGGCTTCAGCTTCTTCAGGTGGAGGTAGTGGCTCCTGCAGGAAGGTTCCAAGGAGTTAACTCATTCCTTTATGTTTTAGCTCTCAGTAATCCCCACTTCTGCTCAATGCCATGTCCAAATACTCCTATCTTAAATGATGTTGTGAGCATCAGGCTAAAGCTTTTGGTCTCTTCAGGTATGTGGAGGGGGGACTTGTGATTAGTAACTTACTCAGCTTGTGTTTAACTAGAGGTAGGTGAGTCTTGACTTAGAACATTAGGGTCCCACTTTGTGACCCTCAGACTTCCGAGTCTGTAGCACTGTGCTTTGAAGAGCCGAGAGCAGCTTTTTAAGGCCAGAGGCAGCAATATATTACTGGAATCTGTGACTACTTTTCCTGCTCTAATGCAATCAACATGCGGTTCGTGCAGCAATTTAAGGCTGGCTTAAAAAAAAAAACAAAACAACAAGCTCTGCTAGGTTGTCGATGTAAGTCTTCTGTGGCAGGATGTCAGAGAGCTCAGTGCTGGGAGCACCCCCAAACAGTTTGTGTGTATGCAGGTTGACCAGACCATGGGCTTGTCTAGATACAGCTTTCTGGAAGGAAGTTTGGATTTTCTGTAGTGGGGCAGTTCTAAAACACTTGGCAAGATGTGATGTGGCAGGCTGGTTCAGTGATGCTGGAAGGAAAACGTGGTCGGGCTTCTAAGAGGCTTTGCAAATGACTTGGCTTTCTGCTTGTCATGTGATATTCTTGGTAGTTCAAGTGTTGCAAGAGATGATAGGATGCCTTGGAAGTGTGTTTTTAAACTCTTTTAAGGCATTTGCTCCAAACTGGGAGCGCTGGGACTTTGGAGGCCTTTGTATAACTCTTAATTGTTCCTGTACGAGAAGAGCAGTGTGGTGAGCAAGAGCAGCCCTAAAGCTCAAGTCCTGTGAGATTCATAACCTCGACTGGGGCTGGGCCATGGATCTGACTTGGCAGGCCACCTGCTTTGCTGCTTGAAGATATTACTTGCTCTTCATAGTGTTTGGGGAAAAAAAATCTGAACTTCTGTGGAGTAAGTGATTCTCAGTGTTACGAATGGTTGTACTGAGTCAGACTGAAGGTGGGTCTGGCTCTGTGGTGACTGGTGGGATGTTTAGGGAAGAGTGGAAGAATAGAAGAAACTCATGATAAACTCTTAGGCTCCAATGAGCGTCTGCTTGGGTGGTATTTGTTTAATAGTGATTCTTTTCCTCCATAAACTTGTCAGTTACTTTCTGAACTCATGCGAACTCTTTTCCTCCATGATAACATGTGGGAATGAGCTTCCGAGGATGCATTGTGTGAAAAACTACTTCCTTCTGCTGGAACCTGTTCTTGAACTTTCTATTCATTTTTGTGTTACGGATAGTGAGTAATCATGACTTTCTTCTCTGCTTTACATTCTTTCTCCTTGGGTATCTTTGTGCTGAGGAGTTTCCTTAGAAAGTGTGTAAGAGCAAAAACTGTTACCCTTGCTTTTCCATGTTCTATAACTTCCACAATCATCTTCAGGTGGACATTGACATTGCTTAATTGACAATAATAAGCACCACCTGTCCTTATGCTTAAAGATCATCTCCTCTTAGATATAAAAGAATTCTTTTTTTTTTCTCTAATGCTGACAGGCTTGATGTTAGAGGGCAGTTGTGAGCCTGCAAGCCAGCATACCTGTGACTGTGGGAGGAAACAAAAACAAACCTAGCAGTTTGTCACCTCTTTGTACTGACATTTTTAAGTGAGCTGGAGCTTGCTTGCTTCAGTCTGGAAGGGAGGGGGACAAGGCAGGGGAACAGCTGTTTGCAAACCCCAATTCTTTCACCAGTAGTGGAAGGGCGTCTGCTAGTGTAGGCAATCTTCACCTTCCTTTTTCCGAACAGATTTTGTGCAAGCGTGTCAGCTGGATGTAAATCCTGCTATTAAAATCCCTGAGCCATGTCCAGATGAGCTTGGCATCTAGATGGGAGTGGTGGGTGGGAAACAAGCTGTGTGTGAATACTAGGGCATGCTGAGTGGGGACGAGGGAAGCTGTCATCTCAAAAAGAGCAACAGGTAAACGCAACAGGTTGCTTTTTTTCTGAAAACAGGTCTTGCTCTGGGACAGGGTGGACAAGAAGCAAGCTGTGCAAAGAGCACAAGGGCCTTCCCCCGTGCCCTTGGTAGAAGCGAAGGGGTACATACGTGGGTCGGAGCAGTGCCAGCTTTAGGCCATGAGGAAGTGAAAGCAGCAAATCTGTTTGGGGGAGCTGCTGCTGAGTGCTCTGGTGCTTCTTCCCCCCTTCAGTTATCGATGCCCTTTTGTTGTGTTACTAGTCAGGAAGAGCAAAGGAGAACAGCTTATTTGGGAACTTGCGTCTGCATGGTGTGAGGCTTTGTCTGGTGTGTTCTCCCTTCCCCTTTACCGGCAGTATGCTCTCTCAGGTTTTCTAGAGTGCGCTTGGCTGGGTGCTCTGCTCCGAAGCAGTGTCCTTTGAGACCTCTTACTGTTCTGCTTCCCGCTTTCCTTGCTCTGGCCCCTTGTCAAACTCATCCTTTGCCTTCTGTTCCCTTTGGCAGTGCTGGCTCTGAATACCTCAGTGCGCCAAGGTGGTTGTAGCTTAGTTGTGGAGTCTCCTCTCTGAATAAATCCATGAGTTTATTCTTTTTCCTCTCCAACATTGAGCTTTTAAACCTGTGGGAGGTTTGGGAGAGTACCTGATTGTTGCTGGCCAAGCCTGAATCTGTCAAGCTCAGACTGATAAAGCGAGCCCTGATGTGGTGGAGTGATTGTATCTCACCTTCACTGGCCTTGTTAAAGCTCTGCATTCCTCCGCCACCTCTTCCGCTGTTGCCGATCATTTGTGCATCAGTTCACATGAAAGCATAAGCTCTTCAGGGCAGATCTGTCTGCACAGTGCTCGGTAGGACTGACCCCTGATACAGAAGAGATCAATAGGTCTTCAATCAGTGCCAGAGGGGTGGAAAGTCTGGCTGGGCATAGCCTACGTTCAGTCTTTCTGCCTGTGGTCTTCGGATCCTGAAGCTAAACCACTGCTTCTCTGCTGTTGTACCTATTTCTAGAGAGGTCTCCAAGCTACTTGGTTGTGTTGAAATAGGTGTGTGATCTTTCCAGCCAGAATGCAGACATTTCTAGACACAAAACAAGGCAGGCAATATGAGGGCAGTCAAGTGCAAAGTGAAAAATAAGATTTTTGTTTTTTTCAGAGTCAAAAGTCTTCCTAAGTCTTTCCTGAGCAGAAAAGAGGCTTATGGATGTACTGGATCAGCTGAGCAGATGTCACAGCTGTGGTCTGACGTGTGGTTTCATATGTTAAATCTTGGGTCTGTCAGTAGATTAATGTGATGATACTTGAGCTGATTAAATGTGTCCCTTTATATGACAGCAGGTGTGTTTTTCCAACTCTGGAGACTTCACAGAAGTCTGGCCCTCAAACACTTGCACACTGTAACCTGTCCAGTTTGATAAGCATGCAAGAACATTGGCTTGTAGAAATAGTGTGTTGCTGAGGATAATCAGTTTGCAAGTGTGCTGTCTTGCTTTGAGAAGTGCAGGTTATGTGCTTTTACAGAAGTCTTTGGGACAACATACACTTAGTGAGTGTCTCGAGACCATTAAAAGGGGATGTGTATGGTGTAACTCTAAGCAAGTGGCAGTTTTTCTATTTCAGTTTGATAGCAATCAAAGCCAAGGCCTCACCCCTAAACAGTCATGTGTTGGGGATGGTGGGCTTGGTCTGCATAATGAGCTGCTCTTAGCATAGCTGCAAGACAGTTACTTCCTTTCTGAACTGGAGCTTGCTGGCCCCACGCAGGTTTTTTCACTAACAAGCAAGAAAAAACTTAAGGGTCAGTTGAAGAGCCAAAAAAATGTACTAATAGATAGAAATCTAGGTGGAAACAAGGTAGGCAAAATTCATTATAGGATCACTAACTGTAGGACGCCATGCAATTGCAATAAGAAAAACCTTCTTCTAGAGGTTATTGTAGTCTTGGTGTCGTTCTGAAAGAACCTAAAAGGGGAAATGAGAGAAGCTTTCTGATAATGGTATTCTGTCGAAGTATTGAACAAGCTTATGCCTCCCTTCCATTATGTTGAGGGCCGAGAGAATACCGTTAAGATTATGATGCTTCCTCTGCCAAAGAACGCGAGTCTAATTCTTGTAGTGTTTTTATTTCCAGGTAGTGTGAAGTCATGGCTATCCTGTTCGCTGTTGTGGCGAGGGGCACAACCATCCTTGCCAAACATGCCTGGTGCGGAGGAAACTTCCTGGAGGTGACAGAGCAGATCCTGGCGAAAATACCATCTGAAAACAACAAACTGACCTATTCACATGGGAAGTGAGTAATGCTTTTCTTCTGGGTACGGGAGGAGAGACTAGTGAACATGCACGAGGATAGGAATAAATGGAGTGTAGCCAAACTCGTATTTGGATGTGTTAGTATGCTGATTGAATGTGCAGTCAGCTACTTTTTTTTCCCCCAGAACTTTGCAGCATAACCAGGATTTTAATTTAGCTTAAGCAATAAGTACCAAGGCAGTTGATATAAAATCAAGTTTTCTATTTTCATACAACTCCAAAGTTGGAGGGTGCTCAGCTGTGAATATCGAACTGTTGGAGTATTTGGTATTTGGCTTGTGGAGTCTTTTGCTGGCTTTTCTGAGGCTTAAACATGGCTTAGGGTAAAAATGTCACCCTTCTCAGATCACTTGTGGATCCTGGTTGCTTTAAGTCCTGCTGGCAGATGTTGTAGAGTCATCCTGAGCTACCACAAATCCAGTCTGTGGGACAGAAGGATTTTTCCCAGGCTTGTACAGATCTCTCAACAGCCCTCGGTCATTGTTGATAGAATGGAGGGATTAGATGTTACATCGCCTGAGACTACGCTGACTTATTGCACATGTAAAGTAGGTAAGTCAATGTGTTGGTGTGCAAACTAAAGAAAGAACTGTGGAGAAAGCAAATTTGGAAGTGCTGGACCCCACTTCAGCTCTTTTTTTGGAATTGGCAGTGTGGTTGGATTCTCAGTATTGCCCAAGCTGTTGTATTAAAGCTGGTTTGGCTGCCTAAGGATTCAAGAGATAAGAATTGGGGTAGTCTTGCCACATCCTTCCCTGGCTTGGGAGCACTAGAAGTCCCTGGGGGAGAGCTTTCTGAGGAAGCTGCCTGCCCTGTCATCTAAAGGACTCTGGATGCTGAGTCTTTTTTTTTTCTACTGTAATTTTAAGGGTACAGTTATTTTCTTTTGTTTTAACTTTGCCTTGAGTGCTGTTGAACCAACTGCAAAGTTGAGTTTTAGAAGTGCTGTAGTGCATTTTTATAGATGAAAACTTGAACTGTGGTGGAGATTGGTTTGCTCTTTACTGGGGAGCACTGAGAGATAGGTGACTAATGCATCTACACTTGCAAAGCATGCTGCAAAGTGTACAATCTTCTGCTCATTACTGACTGTTTCCTTAATGGGGATTTAACCAGTGTGCCAGAAGATCACTGCAGTTTGTGGTTGTTCCGCTTTGCATTGTGCTGTTAAAACATACAGGTGCCATTCTGCAGCTCTGGGCACTGAGCTTGGCATCAGAGTGTCTCCTCTGCTAAAGTTAGTCTCTTCTGACAAAACTTATATTGGCTTTTTTTCTATGATTTGGACAACCCCCTCTTTGGTCAGAATCTGCCAACCCTGCCTTCCCTCTAGGAGAGGGGAAGGAAGAGTTCCTAGCCATCTGTCTGGGGGGATTGAATATTTTTACACACACATGCTTAGAGCTGGCAACTTCTTCCTGCTGTCAAAAAGCAAGGGTTTTGGTTTGTAGAGATATAGAATAGTCTTTTTTTTTCCCTTGACCACAATAACTGGACAGAACATGAAAGCTGTGAAGCTGAGTGAGCACAAGGAGTTGTTGTTCTTCCTGTCTGTAGGGTTTCAGGGATCCTTTTGCCTTGCCAGGGTCCCGGCCTGGAGGCTAGAAAATTGCCCTGTTACCTGTCTAGGATCATTTCTCCTCTTCTGAAACAGGAAAAAAGCTTGTTTCTTTTAAGTTTGTTTGAACTTCTTAAACTCAGTTAATGAGTTCTTTTTGTTTTTAAGAACTTCTATGTCTTTTATATAATCTCCAAGGAAAACCAGCCCTCCAGCATCTGGAGTTCTTGGGGTTATTCTGTCTCTGCTGTTTAAGATTCTTCTATAAGTCACTGGGGACCCTACAAGGTAGTACCAGACAAGCTTTACCTCTCTCCTTCCAGGGAAAAGGGGCAATAGTTGCGGATATGCAGGGATTTTTTTTTTTCCCATGAGAACAGACCTTCAGGGGAGTAAACTATACTTCTAGCCCACCCCTAAAGCTTATTTCAGTGTCGTCTTATTTATATAATACAAAACCTGAGTTTGAAAGCTACTGAGCTGTGCTCGTATTGCTGTACAAGGCAACTGCTGTGCAGCACATGCATTAACTTGCTTTTATTCTGGAGTTTGTAAGAGGGTCCACATGCTTACTGGGGAAACTTTTTGGAATATACAAATGTCAAAGTGAAAGGATACATAGTTTTTCATTAGGAAAAAAAAAGTATTCATGTGGCTTTTTTGCAACTCTCTTCCTATTCTGTCCTGCTGTACTCATCAGAAGCATACATCACCTACTGGAGTGTCAAATGGTGGTGTAATAAAAAAGCAACAGCTACAGCCAATGAGTTGAACTAGAATGCTCTGATCAGTTCTGGTTTGGGTTTAGTCGTGTACGAACTAAGGGGTTTTTTTAATAGTGGGCCTAAAATAACAGCTTGGTTTAATTTTGATAGGAATATATTGCTCTGAACTGGTTTGCACTGTTTTTCAGGATACTGAGGGTTGCATTTAACTAACATCTGTGTTTGCTCAGCACCACTGAAGGCATCTTCACATGAATAGTTAACCTAGCCACATGATTCAAGCCTGTTCAGCCTGATTATTGTTCTATCTAATTCATTTTCTGCTGTGGTTGCTTTTGTCTCTTAGCCTTTGCAATGAAAAGCAAAGGCAGCGCAACCCAGTGGTCATACAAACAAGGCTAAAGAAGCAAGTCACTGTACCAGTGAGGTTCACTAAAGTATTATCTTTCTGGTCACTCCAATTAACTGCGGCTCTTGTCACACGTGAACTAGTGCGTGAATGCTTGTTTGTACATTGATTAGGATTAGACGTAAATCTTACCCCTGGGTATCCTGTCAAGGTTTTGTTTTTACAAATAAGTAGCTGGAAGAACGTGGAACTTAACTTGTTTGGCAACTAGATGTCCCACAGAGTTATTGCTAAGCATGGAGTGCTGTGACGTATGTGAGGCCAGTGATTCTTTAACATGTAGGTTTCTAATTCAGTGTAGGTTATAGGAATGGAGACGCTTACCTCAACAAAGATGGCTGGGATATGTTGGCATCTGTGTGATTTCCTGTAGAGTAACTGGAATTTGCTCTTCTATTTCTCCAGCCCTTGAAGGCCCTGCAGGCAGTAGTGTGTTCTAGAAGATTAGTCCTGTGGCAGCTCCAAGTGACCTTTTTTTTTTTTTTTTTTGTTCTCTGCAGTTATCTGTTTCATTACATCTGCCAAGACAGGATTATATACCTCTGCATCACAGATGATGTAAGTACTTTGGTTACAGCTATGGCACAGACAGGCTCTTTGCAGGTTTTGGCTTTTTTTTGTATCTGTATGCCAAAGAAAATCAATAGTGGGTGCTAATATGAGGTGCCTTTTTTCCCATTGGAGCTACTGCTTGTGTTCTCATTCACATCAGTTAGAGCTTTGAAGTCTAAGCCTGGAGCTCAAATGCATGTGAATAGTTAGTTTTGAGGTCAAGTTCTTGTTTTTGCCTAGTTTCTCTCTTAATGGCTGCAGTGCGGTAGAATCTAGATGTGGATGCTAGCCTTTAATTGTCAGTGAAATATGCCTAATACTCCTCAATTCTGGACATGTTGAAGGAGAGACTTCTCCCTCACTGGAAAAAGGTAACAGGCACAGAATTAGAAGTATGGATACCCCAGTAAAGTCTGCTGCCAACCAATGTCCAGGAAGCTGAGACTGAAATCTGGCTGCTATTCAAACCCCAGGATAACCAGTCAAATCCCATAGCGTTACGCGCAGCACGCCTGTTAGAACTGATAATTACAGTTTCTCTACAACTGGCTACGTGCCCCGTACACTTCATTATTTCTGAATTGACACAGCTCTGGACGTGGTCTGCTCTCTTCCTTCCAGGACTTTGAACGATCCAGAGCCTTCAACTTCCTGAATGAAATCAAGAAGAGGTTTCAGACCACATACGGCTCAAGAGCACAGACAGCCCTTCCCTATGCAATGAACAGCGAGTTCTCAAGTGTCTTAGCTGCACAGCTGGTGAGATCTGTTGCTAAATGGGATTTCCCGAACAAGCCAAATTTCTCCCCAGAAATTCTCCCTGTATTTTCTGCCTCGGAAGTGAAGTGCCATGCTGAGTCTAGGTATAAAGCTAGGGGAGTTGGCTGTTCTCCCCACACTTACCCTGCAGCTGGGCTGCTTCACTACTTCGGTGGTAAAAGTGGGTTGGGGTTAATAGTGATGCATTAACTGTTTGTACCAGGTAGCTGCACTGGAGATTAGATCTTAATGGTAACACTTGAAATGTCAAACCTAGTTCCAGTTGACCATCCAGTGCAAGCTAACATCACTGTCGCTAAGAGCAAGACAAACGCATGTTACTCCGTTTCTGTTAAACTAAACTTCAGAACTTGAGTATCTAGTAATCTCTAACTGCCTCTCTCCTTGCTTCTTGGTAATTTCAGTGGCACACTGCTGTAGTGTGACAGGGTATTTGCTTATGGTACTGTGTCCTTTTCAGGAGGAAATAAAACTGGGCTTGGATTACAGTCAAGTGCTGTATACAGAACCATGGTAGACTCTCCAGCTAGCTTGCACAGAGGCTCCAAGGATTTCCATTCCCAAGATAGGTAGGAGGTTAAAGAGCAGGATAAATGACTTGTGAAAGGTTCCGCATTCTCTGAGCTGAGACTTGCCTTGGACCCTTCTAACCCCAAAACTAAAAGTGTGAGGGTATTACAAAAGTGAGGGGAATATCTATTTCACCCTCAACTTGCACTTTTCAGCTGAGGCTGGAGTGGTGTTTAGGACGATGCTGGATTCCAAGTCTAGGGACTGTAGGCGCTATAGTCTTTGCAAGATGAGTCACTACACCAGTATGATTGCAGTCTGGAAGGAAGATGAAGCCCATGTCAGTGGGGTCTGTGCAGGCACTGAACAACAGCATGGAAGGGCTTGGCACAGAGAGCCTTGGTACGGTGTGGTGCTGCAAGCTCAGCTGCAGTGAGGAAAGCCGCTGTTGCGGAGCTGCCCGCAATGTAAGATATCTTCTTGCCCACTGCTCTAGTGGGTACCTGATAGTGGCACAGCTTGGTGTCCTGGCGGGATTGTAGTGGCACCCCTCTCCGGCGGCGTGAGGAGGGAGCAGTCTGTCCCAGCTCTCCCACTGGCAACAGAGCACGTTGCTTTCAGTTGCTGGAACTGGACGGCACCGCTGTTCTGATGTGCTGTCTGATTTTATTGGCCCTGTTGACAGCTCGACTAAAGCTGAGTTCTGAATGGTGGTGTTAGGGCATATACAGAACACTGTCTATCTCCTTTTTAAAAAATTTCCAGGTTTCAGAAGACTCTATTCTAACTATTCTGGGTCTGTTCTTGGACTCCTGAAGGGAAAGGTTGGGCTAGAATCTGCTTCCCTCTTGAAGTGCAGAGGAGTTATGTGCTTATTTTGCTTACCACAGGAATCTGATACAATCTTGATGCTACCATCCCATTTTCACAAAAGTGCTTTGCTTGTTGTGTATTGTTTTGGAGGTGTGGCAAAGCCCACAGCTGCCAGATGGGAGAGATTTGAAATTGTTGTATTGCTTTATGTATTTTATTCACAGCAGTATATGGGTATAGCTTCTGAAGTATTTAAGTGCACAGCATAGTGCAGCCCTCTATAGAATGAGATGCATTTCACAGAGCACTTTTTCTTAATGCAGTGTTGACTTGATGCGTAACCTGGGTCTGCAAACAACACCCTGCCCTGCTCCAGTGGGTTTTTTTTGTGGGGGAGAAGCGGAGAAAAAGCAGAGAGCAGTTGCTCTAGGTGTGGGATTGGGCTGCTCTTAAAATATGAGCTGTTAATGTAGTGGGAATGTTGCAGTTTGCACTTCTCCCTGTTGTTTGGTCTGCAGTGGTATATTTCCAGCACCTGCAGAGAAAACAGGCCTGGGGAAAGCACAGGCCTGTTGCTAGATGTAATGTCAAATTAAATGAATGAAGTCAGATGGAAAATAGAGAAGGAATCAATAACTGCCCTGTGACTCATATGATCAATAGCCTTATTAGTGCACAAAACCTCAGGCTATACGGTCTGCAAAGAAAGTGTTTTGAATCTTCTGTTGAAGACTCTTAAGAGTCCTTAATTGACTACAAACAACTTCATAACCTGAGCAATGTTGGTTTAGGTTGGGTTTTTTTTTGAGACCGCCCTTGATTTAAAGATAAGATGTCCTTGGAGTATTGGCTTTCAGAGCTTTTACACTATCTGTATCTGGGACAACTGGTGCTGTACACACAGTGTAGGAGGTTCTCAATTTGCTCTGCTGTGGCTGGTGAGCATTAGTGCTGCTGTTGTTCTCCGTGAAGTTTTGCTGATCTACTGGAAATGCCAGGTTTGGTGATGTTACAGGTGCAGGAGGAGAGCTCCTTTGCTGGTGACCCATAAGCATAGCTCTTGGCTGTAAGTGTAGAAACTGGGCAAGCTTTATAACGCTCTCCAGCAGTAATGGTTGCATGTTGAGGTGCAGGGTGAAGCCAGGGCTTTGAGGTGGGTGACGGTTAAGTGAGGATTTGTACTTGCACTGCTGCTGCCTGAAGTTTGTATTGGAGTTTGTGAAAGGAGCTGTTTGTGTTGGTGCCCTCAGTGACTAGCGGAGGTGATTTGGAGCATGTAGAGTTGCACATAGTTCATTGCAGAAACTGTTCTTTGGCTTATGCAGCAGATAGAAAGCAATGAATAATAATGCCAGTGTGGCTCCAGGAGGGCCCGATGCATTGTGCATAATAAATTAGATTAACTTCCTATGTGTGGTAGGACTGAGTTTTTCTTCTCCACCAGGCTTTGATATATGGAGACTGAAACTGTATGAAGTGATGACTCATCAAATTGTAAGCTGTTCATGGCGGAGCTTAATGATTTTTTTTGCCAGGCAGTCTTCAGAGCCATGGTGTTGATATTCCTCTAAAAATCCCAGCCTTTCCATTTCTCTAAAGCACAAGAGAGCTGCCTACCTTAGCTTTTGCATATTGATAGAAATCCAGGCATCAACTAATAGAAGTTAAGTGATGACAGAAAGCTCTTCCCTCACATGGCTCTAAAACTTGCTGAAATGAGAGCCCTACTGATCAAACATTACATGTAGTGCAAGAGCAGGACTGTTATCTAGGTGATTCCTGTAACTTAAGGAGTTTAACTAGTGTGAGGCTGAGGGTGGAAGAAGAGATCATATGGCAGTTCAGAGATCACGCTACAACTTGAGTGTAGCACACAGATAACACTGAAAAGGGAAGCAACGCTTCCAGTAAAACCAGTGACCAGCTTTGATAGCATGCCAGTTCTGCACCTTCTCCTAAAAAACTAACCTCTGAGGAGAAGGTTCAAAGGAGCTGTTGCATTCAGTGTTATAACCATTAATTATGACCTGAGTGTGTGAATGCTGTTAGAGACTCGTTTCCTGTGTTGTCAGAAATGGATGCAAATCGAACACTTATTCAGAAGAAAATGTGGGTTTAAGTAGCCACAGGGGTGGTCATGAAGTAGAGTAATTGTGATCTAGTCCTGCCCTCTGCTGTCAGTCTCCTTAGATGGTCTCTTATTAAAGTAGAGATGCTTCGTAAAGGTCTTCAGATGTGAGTGCGATGGCTACAAGTTCAGAGGAAAAGAACAGTTTATCTATGAGTTTTGCTATAGAGACCTGTTTCCCGGGGTGAAGGTGACTTAAAGGCAGTGGGATAATAGGAGCTGTGGCTAGCAATGCTTGACTGCAAAGGACCTGTGATGAGAGCAGTGACTTAAAATCAATCCAGGAATAGCAGAACTTAGTTATCCAGTGCTGACTTCCCTCAATTTCCCTCCTTTGATTCTGCAAACACTGCAAGACTCCTTTTAACCTGGGGATGTTGGTTAGCACTTCTCTCACCTACCAGCCTGAACCGTGCGGTCACCAAAGGTTCGCTTGTGATCCCAAAACCTGAAAAACAGTCTCTGAGTGAAGTCCCTGTCACTTCTGAAGGGAAGAGGATTAAGGAGGAGGGATGACAGGAATGTGCACAGGTTAGCGACACGTCATGTTTTTTGCCTTGCTTCTGGGAGGCCACAAACGGAGTGTGCTTCTGTAGGTATCTGACAAGCTGGCAGGTGAGCTTACCCCAGTGGCGTGCTCAGTGCCTGTATGGAGCATCCAGTGCATGCTTTTTCCACTTGTAATACAGAGGGATTCAATATCACCAAAGCTGATACAGTGCCGGACTGTAGCTAGGAGGTGGCGTGTGAAATCCTCCTAGGTGGGTCTAGCACGCAGCAGGCTGGCTCCTGGCTGCTTGTATCCTCTCTAGGAAGAGCAGTTAGGCAACTCAAACTGGCCATCTTCAGCATCTCCTGTGGTATTTCCAGTTCACAGGCCTTCCTCTTCTTTGCTGGAACTCCCTCTGGTGCTCACTGCAGAGCTGGCTGCATGCTGTCTTGCTTGTGAAATTGCAGGGCTCTCTTGACATGTTCTAGAGATAAGTAGAGAAAGTCCTGAAAGTGTGTTCCCTTCATTAATAGTTCAGAAATGATGTGTGGGAGTCGGACCACTAGTGGGCTACTAGCCCAGGCATTCAGTGAACCGTATCTCACAGATTCTTGTCTTAACTTTCCTTCCTTGCTGCCAATTGCTTAGACTTTCAAAGGGGGGTGTTATTTCTGGGCACTCTGGAAATTGCAGGCACCTGGCTGCCTTGCAGCTCCTGCAGTGCAGGAGCAGACGGGCATGTGTGATCTGTAAGTGGCTGAGAAAGTCAGATTTTGGTCTACTAGCCACTTATAAATATCTCAGGCAATTTGAAAACTCACATTTATGTCTGTGCTGTTTTGTAGTGACCAGGAGTTTCCTTTTTTTGTCTTAAGGAACTGAAGTGCAACGTTGAGGGTCCCTGCTTTCACTGACTCTTCATTTGTTACAGAAATACCACTCGGAGAGCAAGGGCACTGACCAGGTGGCAGAGACGCAAGCTCAAATCGATGAACTTAAAGGAATCATGGTTCGAAACATAGGTATCTGGCTTCCCTCAGTGCCACGCATGCAGAGTTCCTCGGGGCCAGAATGGCAGTCCCGCAGGGAGCGTTATGGAGAGTGAAGTTGATGGTGGGGTGGCCTCTCTTGACAAAATGACCTGGTGAAGAAGGGCCTGGGGGAGCTCTGAGTTTGTGAGCTGTTACTTGCGTTGAACTTGGCTGAGGGTGGCACATGGGTGTGAGGAGCGTTGTTTGAGATGAACTTGCAGAGCTTGTGACGGGGTGAAGCATGCTCTGGGTTTGGTCTGTTTGTCACCGTGGCTTTCCTGCAGCTGCTGTGAGGAAAATGCTCCTGGGTAGCTTACTTTTTTTTGTGTATGTGTGTGTCAGACTCTGGTTTGGGTTTTGACAAGTCTGACCACTTAAAATAGAGGGTTAGATCTGGAACTGAGTCAGGTCAGTCCCAAAACGTAGCCTGTGTGATGTGAGACTGTTCCTTAAGTACTGTTGCCTGGCAATCTCTGAAAGGCTGAGAACTACTTGATGTCTAATAAGCCAAGAGCTTCTGGCTTAAAATTGGGCTTGGGTATTGGAAGCAGCTTTGGGATTCTACCAAAAGATCTGGATTTTTGCACTGGGATTCTACCTACAGATTTGGATTTTTGTCTCTTTCTCCAGACCTTGTGGCACAAAGAGGAGAGAAGCTGGAGTTACTGATCGATAAAACAGAGAATCTTGTGGATTCGGTAAGTCTGGGGAAGAACTTATAATTGGGGAAATAGTGTTACTGCATCAGTTGTGCTCATCAGGGAGCAGTGGAGGTAAAGACCAGCATCTAGAGCCACTTCTAAACAGACACTGAAGCATTTAGATCTACAGATAATCCTTCCCTGTGTCAGACACAAGTCCTGTCTTAATTCCCTCCCTCCTTATAGCTGTTTCACAAGCTGCATCCCAGCCTTGCAGCTCATTTAAGAGAATGAAGGTATCCTGTGCATCTCTGTTCTGTATCCTGCCAGTACTGGTGGGATTTGTGGGTGACTGCTAAATGCTAGGCTGCAGTGCTGAGCAAACGCTCTGCTCCCAAGGAGCAGCTGCCTGCTGCCCCGTCCTGTTAATGAACCATCTTCAACTTGCTCCTGTTTGCTACAACCAATGCACAGGCTAACACGCTGCCAGCACAAGCAGTGGTGTTTCTTGTCCTCATCTCTTGTGCCCAAGGTGGGGAAAACCCACTCTTTATCTGGAGCGATAGGAAAGCTAAAGATCATAATTAAAACTTCTCTTGCGGCCTGGTCTGAAGTCAGCTTGATGCAGGTTAACACATTTCCAGTTTATCTGTAGAGTTGTTCTAGTATACCGACAGGGAAAGTGTAGCTGATTTTAAAAAAAAAAAAAAAAGCCTGAGTTGTTCCACCTAAATAGTCTATAAAAGACTCTGGAACTTCATGGAAAACTTCATTTTCTCACTTCTAAGTGAGAAAAGACTGAAAAACCCCCAAAACTTCATGCTTTACAATTACACTATGTTATCTAGTAAAGTGTCGTACACTCTGGAAGCTTTTTTGTCTTTCCTCTGGGAATCCCTAGACCTGGCGCAGCATCTTCCTCTGCAGAGTCCTGGCTCGCTGCCCAATTCCTTTAGCACCTGACCCTCAGAGGGCAATCCTCAACCCAGCAGAGTGCCGGTATCTCCTCTATGGGGCTTGTGGAGATCCAAACATCTCTAAGCTGGCAAAGAGTGTTCATGCTTTGGAGAGGTAGTAGAGATGCCTGGAGCTTACCCAGTAGGGAGTACTTTCCTCCAGCTATCAGGTGTTTAAACCTTACCACTTCCTCAGGTGATGGCAAGAAGTAGTCTAACCTCAGGTAATGCTTTAGAGAAATGGACTGGAGTTCCTTCAGGAATTAGGCTGAATTCATGTATGAGCTCTCCCAGGGCGTGTTGGTTCGTGGAAACCACGCAGAAAATGGAGGAATGGGATATGCCTCTATTTTGAATGTTTTACAGCCCAATGGTGAGTGTTCTAGGAGACCCAGGGCTGAAGTTCTCAAACTTCAGAGTAATGAACTGTGATTTATCACTCCTGTATGAGCCTTGACCACCAGAATATTGTACGTAAACCAAACATGTTAGAACCCTCCTAGCAACAGTGGCAAGGGCCCCTTTTTGGGAGGGAGGTCTGAAGAAGCTGGTGGTCAGAGCAGCCCCGTCCTCTGGAGAACTAGCCTGGGCTGAGATGAGGTGTGCTGGTACCAGCAGTCTGCTTCCACACGTAGAAACTGCACAGCCGAGCAAGAGAAGTGCTCCCAAAGTTCAGATGGTGGCTGAGCATGGGAATCGGCTTTAAGTCAAAATTACAGTTCATAGGGATGCAGTCCTCCTGGTGTAGCCTTATGTGAAAAAGTTGCGGGGTGGTTTGTGGGGAAAACCTGAAAATAACCAGCAGAGTGTGCTGCTGAGTTGGCTTGTTCTGGGTGCTGCAGCCTTTCCCTGGGCAGGCGTATCCTTGCATGAGCTGTTCAGGGAAAGCTTGTGAAAGTAGTTGCGCTAATCCAGCCCGGTGGGTGTTTGAGGGCAGTTTGGGACCAAAACCATGTGAAAAAGTTGCGGGGTGGTTTGTGGGGAAAACCTGAAAATAACCAGCAGAGTGTGCTGCTGAGTTGGCTTGTTCTGGGTGCTGCAGCCTTTCCCTGGGCAGGCGTATCCTTGCATGAGCTGTTCAGGGAAAGCTTGTGAAAGTAGTTGCGCTAATCCAGCCCGGTGGGTGTTTGAGGGCAGTTTGGGACCAAAACCCCAAAGATACAACTTCTGTCTCAGGATTTCCCTGAGCTACAGATCACCTGAAGCTCAGAGAACGTACTAGACATATGTCACCAAGAGTTTTCCTTGTTCTTATAAACCTGTAAAGTTACTTTTTTTTGGCTACTGTTCGAAAGATAGGGTGCTAGACTACATGGACCTTTGAGTAATCTTGTAGAACCGTTTTTTTTAAGCCGAACTTCTTAAAGTGTAATACATATATTTATAGTGTTTTGAATGCGTGGAATTGCAGGATACAGAGAGGAGACTTGGAACAGGGCAACCACAAGCTTTCCATAAAATGCAGCAAGCCCAAACACTGAAGGAAAGTTCTAGCGTTAAAGGACTTGTCTATCCCCTGTGGAACTGCTGTCAAGTGTAGCAATATGGGTTGTCTCATTTTAGCAGGTGTATTTACAGTAATAAAGTTGCATGTAATATGTTGGTGATTAGATCAGTAGTTCCATAAATATTTTGGAGCACGTCAATTCCCAAAAGGTTGGAAGTCAAATGAGAACCCAGACAAATCCCTGTGGGCAGCCTACAGACCTAGTGATGTTCTGTGTTTCATTCTCCCAAGATGAGCGTGGGAAGGCACAACCCCGAGCTGGTTCTGGACTTTTACACTTGATCTTGCCCCTGAAGTAGTGTTTTCTCTTGATGCCTGTTGTATTCGTGTAACTGCAGGAGTTAAGCATCTCTGGAGGAGATAACTGCAGTGGTTTGTGTTGTTAGGGAGGTGGTAGCTGGAAAAAGCCTCTTCATCTAGCTTCTTGGGATGCAGCTTCCTCTGCAGCAGGTTCAGGAATTAATTAGTTTTTTTACTTTCTCTTGTAGTCAGTCACTTTCAAAACTACCAGCAGGAACCTTGCTAGAGCCATGTGTATGAAGAACCTCAAGCTTACCATCGTCATCATCATTGTATCAATTGTAAGTATGGAGCATAATAACCTTTAGCTTTTAAGTCAGGCTTAACTGCTGGAAAATGCCAGCAGCATATTACTGTCTTTAGACCTGCGTGTCCTCAGCTCTGTGCCTGGAAGGCTCTTAGCTGTAAAACAAATGTTTTGATGGTCTTGTGTGAGGTGAGGAGAGAGAGCATCGTGCCAGGCAGCTTTTCTTGTCGAGGCAATAGGAAAAGCTTTCCAGACAATGCTGTCTAGCTTCTAAGTGCCTGTCATAGGAGCTGCCTTGCCAGCCCCATTAGAAGCTAAGGTATTGAGTTTATGGCTACTCTACCTGTAATAGCTTTTTAGGCCTTAGTCCTGTTGGTACCTTGTTTCTTAACTTTAAAGTAGCTTTTTTCGATGTGGCAGAGTACCTTCAGCCTGTAATCAATGCAAACAGTGCTAACGTGAGGATGCTGAAGTGTAGTTGCAGGTTAGATGTGTGAAGTGCTTTGTCACCCCTCAACCCTCGTTCGTGTTTTGCTGGAGGACAGGTCTCATCCCCGTGTTGCTGCAAGGGTGTGGAGGAAGAGGTGCTGGCACAAAGTCCAAGTTATTTAGGGCTTTGATAACCTGGGGTTTCCAAGCTTGTGTTTGGATTGCCGGGCCAAGTCAGCAGTTGACTGAATGATGGAAGTGTGATTCCCTACTGAAGTGGCTGTTTTCTTTCTCCAGGTTATCATCTATATCATTCTATCGGCTGCCTGTGGTGGGCTTGCATGGCCGAGCTGTGTGCAGAAGTAACTGGAGGCAGCGGGTGCTGGTCACTTGGAGATGAGAATCACAGGAGTGTGAAGAAGCAACCTACAGAATAACTCTTAATCTTTCACTACTGACACCTTCTCATTCTTCCATCCCTCCAGGACTTTGGCCTTTTTTGCCTTATCACCCCAAACAGGCCCAGCTGGTCACTGCTTCGGTGCAGCTGTAACCTCAAGAATGGGCTGTTTTAAATTACTTGAAGGGATTTTTTTGTTTCTTTCTCTGTCCCAATGACACCCTTCTCGGCTGGGCGGGCGGTTCGTCCAGCTCTGGAGGGTTATGTGCATGCTCGCCCGTGTGTCCGTGTAGCTTTGCACTTTCCTGTGAGCGCGCAAGTGGAGGACAGCACTGCTAGCAGCTGTCCTGCCCGTGAGGGTGGTGGTGGAGCGTGGTTCAGGGTGGGCAGGACAAGGTGGGTGTATGTCTGAATTTCCACCTTTTAACAAATATTGGAGATCCAGGTTGCTTCTCCCTGCACATCTGGCCTGATGCCGTTCTGTAGTGTTTCAACATGTAGAGGTTGCAAGTGTAATACTGGTAGTGACAACAAGAATGGCTTCTGGGCTAGGGCATTGAGCACTGTAAGATGTAGGTGCTGCTTCTGTATGAAATCTCCCTTTTCCTGGAGGTCTTTCTGGAGGTGGTAGGAGAGGGTGTTGGGTCACCTCAGCATTTTGGAATGGCTGCCTCTTCATCCTCACTTCTTCCTCATCTCTCCTCCCCCTTAATTTGTGGCTAAATCAATACAGTAAAGGAGATGATTGCACATAGTTAAGGTTGCAGTAATGTATCTGCTTTCTCACATGTTATTTCTCCTGTTCTTCTTTTGAGGGTGGACTAAAATGAATACTAATGTTATCACTTGCTAAGGTGAAATTGGGGGCCAATCTATTGATCTGGCTTGATAAGGTGCCAGGTATCTGCTGCTTGTGCTTCTACTCTGAAGGTGTGTGCTAAAAACTGAGGACAGAGAAAGAAGGGACAGAAGGTTGGAGTTGATGGATGGTCACTTTCTCTATGGTCTGAAGAAGAAAGGCTCTTTCAGAGGACGTTAGTAACATGTGCTCCTCCAAAAAGAAAAACAAAAAAAACCCAAACCCAAGGCTAATAACCAAATGTAGGATGAGGTATGCTGACGATGTGCTGCTGTCAGAGGACAGGGGCTGCTTTGCCTCCTGTTGGGAGCTGTGAACGCTGTTATTTCTGTCCCAGCCGGCCAGTCCTGGCTGCCTGGAGCCAAAGCTGTTGCTGCCTGGGGTGAGGGGTGTAGGGACTTCTGTCTTGTATCTTACAGGCTCATTTCCAAGAGAAGAAATAGAAAGAACTGAAATCTCATAAAAGCATCAGATGGTCTACAAAGGAAGCTGCATCTTTTTAGCCCAGGGAAGTGGCTTCTAACGGTGGGTGGACGCTGTTGAGGTATGGGAGGCTTAATTTGGGACTAAACTCGAGCACTCCCTTGGTGCCGTGGGTTCCCTGTGCCCTGCAACACAGGCTTGCCACAGGCAGGGCAGTGATGTGAAACTGCTGCTCCTTCATGTGCTTTTCTTGGTGTGTTACGTTGACCTTGGAGCTTTCCAGCAGGTGCCAGATAAAGAGTTCTCCTATAAACTTGTATCTTATTTGGATTTGTCTTCTACTAGGCTGAAATTTAACTAAGGGTAATCAGATCTTGATATCCAGAACGTGTCAGTGGTTCTGATCAGTGCTGCGGTCGCTGGCATCTGTTTCTATTTGTGCTAATCGAATGTAAAGCTTAGAGAAAGATTTCCTTCCTCTTGCCTCCTACTCTTACAGCCACCCACAGTTCAGTGTACACTTGTGCATGTTTTAGGGATTGTTGATATTACTGTGTTCATTTCTATGATTTGTTGTCTTATGTACAAATACTTTTTAAAGAAAATACTTCCTTTCCTTTTAAAGGATGCACTGAGGCATTAGTGTAAAAACAAAGTTAACTTGATTTAAATAAAATTACTGTACAGAAAGCAGAGTTCTTTAGTTTTGTGAGAGGTGGGTCTGGCAGAAGGTGCAGACTGGTGGTAGGCACTACTTGATGAAAGCAGTGTGTACCTGGGGCGGGTCACCCTGTGTCCAACGCTGCAGCGCCAGGCTCGGTGTCACCCCGCACGGCAGCTTGCAGAAATCGCGTGTAGACATCCTGCTGTGATGTAGTTTCTGTGTAAAACCTCTTGGCTTTGGAAGGATTTTGACTGAGTTTTGATGCAAGTGCTGGAGCCTGTCACAGCTTGAGAGGGGCTTATTTCTGGAGGTGGAGGGAATCTGCTCCTCCCTGTTGTGAACTGGGAGCCTGGGACTAAGGGTTGCTGAGGGACATGGGGGACAAGGTACCCACAGAGCACTTGTGGAGGGGTGATGGCACAGGCAGTGGAGTGGTGTTATTACTTGGAAGCTAAATGAAAGTCTGTGTGAAAACTTTTTTTAAGGCAATTTTCAGTGATACAAAACCCCCCTGTCTTGAGGGAAGTCCCTAGTTATGGATGCCTTTCCTCTTCTCTAGTCGTAGCTGGGAAGAACCCACTTTTCTAGAAGAGTTTATCATACAGACAGACTTACTGCTCGCTGCCTTGCCTCGCCTCTCATCTACCGCAGGAACATTAAATGCTGATGCAGTATTAGGTTTTGGAAGCAGGCTCATGCATCAGTATGAGGGAATTGGATTTCCTCTTTAACTTGCAGAAACTGTTTGAGTTTAGTTGATTGTTATCTTGGTTTGAGGCAAAATTGCATTCCAATGGTATCTGCTAGGGCTCAGGATAATATAGAATACAAAAGTCTGAAAGAAAATCACTTGGTATGAGAACAGCTTAGAAAAATGAAAGGATAAAACTTAAGTTAACATCTCATTAATCTCATTAGTGTGGTAGTTCTTACAGAGCTGGGTTTTGTGCTTAATGTTCCTGATGTATGGCCAAAAAGCAGATGGGTAGCCATCTTCAAGTGCTTGTCCATCTTAGATTTGTATTTAAAATGCCCATGAACTCAGGCAGAAGCTAACCTCAGAAGGCGGCCCTGGTCAACCTTTCTGCTTACTTCTCTTTTTAGCCTCTGGTCTGTCTAGAAGTGCGTAGCCAAATCCGAATGTCTGTGGGCATCCATTCTGCAGTTCTTCATAGAAACAGTATCACATGCCTGATAAGCTTTAACTGGAATATAACCTTAAACTATTTAAATATTTTACTTTTGCCAGAAATTTTTTGTTCTTTGCCTAGTTTTAAGTATCTGTTATGTATCCATTAAATAGCAGCAGCTGTCTCAACTTAGGAGGCTGCAGAGAAATGCACTGCCTGGAAAATGCAGGCGTGCTCTTACCTTTGGAATGTAGACCACAGCGAAGACAAAAGGAGAACACTCAAACAACAGAGAAATCGCACTGAAGCGTTGCTGGTCTTTCATCTTTCTGTGTGCCAGGAAGGTAAATAAGTTCAATGGGACCAGGTTCCAGCTTTTTTTTTTAGGAAAGAACCTTCTCCATAAAGGAAAAGCCTTAGCAGGACAGTGCTGTAAACCTGCAAAGCTTTATCGGGGGTAGTGAGAAGCCTATTTGTGTAAAAACAGTTGTCTCTGACATGTTTGTGTGTGGGAGGGAGACATCTGTATTCTGACAATGAGCAATAGCTCCAGCTCAGTCACATCTGCCTCTTTCACTGTAACAGTGCTCATAACAAAACCTTCCTTTTTGCCCTTTCAACAAGGTGGAACTGGTGCTGAGACTTACAAGGCTGCTCTGAAGTAGAAGAGGGTTATTTCAACTTCAGGAAAATAGTGGTATACAGCTGTATAACTTAAGTTTATAGTAAAACATTGGTATTCATTAGAATGAGCAAATGGGACATGAGAAAGAAACCCTTGCTGCATTTCAGTTACTAGCTTACAGACACCTCTCTCAAGAGGTGACGAACCCAACCTTGGTCTCACAGCTTACGTGCCCAATGCTAAAAGCTCCCATTGTGACTGCTGCTTCTGCGGGAGGGGCTGGGAAGAGTCCTCTGCTAGCGCTGCCTTTCTGGGGGATACAACTGTCTCTTCCTTTTTTTTTTATTTTCTAAAGATGTAAAAAGTGATGTCTGCTGTCAAGCATCCTGCAGAGCTTCCTCTTTGCAAGTGCTGTTTCCTATATTTTGTTCTGCTTAGGCCACTTGTGGATATTCTCCTAGAAAAGACATGATCCGAGTGCTGTGAATTAAGTTTTCCTTTGCTAACACCCACCTCATTCTTGTGAAATCCAAGGAGATTAAAGGTAAATATCAACACTTCCATCATAAGAGACTTCCTCTGGAGACCCGTTTACCTGTGCAGAGCTTTGAGAGCTGAAGTGCAGAAGCAGACTTCTGTACAGCTGGGCCTGTCAAGAGAACCCTCATTCCTAGCACAAAAAAAACCACTCAACAGTCAGGCTCACTGTTTGAATAAAGCAGATCTATTTCAGCACCATAACATTTTATTAAACTACACTATCAAAATCACATTGGTGGCAGGGAGAACATTGCTATCAGTGCATATTTTCTGTACTAAGACTGTATTCATAGCATCCAGCACTTGCTGAGGAAGAGGACACCAAAACAGAATCCTTCATAGCCAAAGAGACCGTAGAAAACTTCTACAAAAATCAGGGCAGTTAGGGGCTAGCTGAAAGAGATCAAAGGGGAACCCTTCAAGTCAAATCAGACAGGGAGGGTTATTTTGAAAAAGTTTACTTTTAACTGGTGTTTGTTAACTTCCTCATCGGAGAGATGAAGATGCTGATAAACAGCAGTTTTTAAATAGCATCCTCTGTCCCTGCAGCTGCCTGTTCACAAACCCACACAAATATTGTGTACTGCTCCTTCACTGGTGAACTGTGATGCACACACCTGAATACAACAGCTTAAAGTGTACTACAGTTATAAAAACCTGCTTCATCTTCTAGAACAAACAATAAAAAGTAGCAGAAATACATTCTATACAGAAGTAAAAAAAAACCAAACAAAACGCAAACAGTTGAGTTTCAGACAAATATTAGAGTACATCAGGTTGAATTTAAAAAGTCTTACTCCTAACATCTACATCACTATTTCTAGTCTCCCTACGCCACTGCTATGCAACACACCATAGCAGCAGCTCAAAGCTGCTTTCTGGCACAAACTGGACAACCAGACGCCTTTTTAAGCAAGCATCCTCAGGAGCTGGTCACCTAAGAAGTCTCTTGTGACAAGCCTTCCCAAGGGCTGCACCTAGAGGTTGATATGAAATAAGGCTATTTTCAGTCTTCACGTGAAGACTCATATTTCAGTAAGGTTTTGAACAGTGGAAACACAGTAAAGCAGTTGTCTGTTCCACCACTGAGAGGTCAGGCTCTTGGCAGAATAGCAGAAGGCCAGGACAGTTTGCGTTCAAGAGGAGAGGAACTATATACATCAGTCTGCAACGTGATGGGTCTCTTGAGTTGCGTTTTCAAAGAACGTTCTTGCGCCCAGCCAGCTGGGGGTCTGCTTCACAGAGGTGTTCGGCAGTGCCTCAACGTTTTGGGTTGTCAGTAACACCCATCCTTCCAGGAATCGTCTTCGGTGGCCTGAGTGGTCTGTGCTGACTGAAGAAACCTGGTTTGAGAGACAAAAAAAGAGGTCACCAACAGCTGCGAGAAGCAAAGACCCCAGTAATCTGTTGATGTACACAGGAATGCTTGTTTGAGGTTTTTCATTTACACTGGGCTGCTGCAACATCTGTCC